AGCTTTGTAGGCCGAAATCTAGCCCCGTTTCGTCACTTCCTGTTTTTTTCGAAAATACCGGAAGTGACAAAACGGGGCTAGATTTCGGCCTACAAAGCTTGTAGAAGCCTGCAGAAGCCTTCCTCAAGGCTTTGGGAGGCTGAAAAGGACCTCAAACCGGCCGAAAATCAGCTGTGAGGTGCGCACCTGCACAGTGAGGTAAGTTTGCCTGCAGCTTGCGTGACAGCACAAATGGCTCTGCGTGCCACTTGTGGCACGCGTGCCATAGGTTCGCCATCACGGGAACAGGGGAACCTCAGAGACCTGAAGCACGAAATCTCTCAAGCAGTGGTGAGATGCTGCCAGTGTAACCATCGGTTCGCCACGCACGTGTGAACAGCTTTCCGAAAAAACTTACCGTATATGCCGGCGTATAAGACGACCCGGCGTATAAGATGACCCCCCAACATTTCCACTCAAAATATAGTTTGTTATATACTCGCCCCCTCTTCCGCACGCCTTCCACTTTTGCACTTTTTTTTTTTGAGGCACTTTTGTCTACCGTGGAAACGAATCCCGTGAAGCTGAAAGGAGCAGCCAGCCTTCTCCCAGCTCCCAAGGAAACGAGGCTCGCACCGCCCGGGCTCCGCTGAGGTATCCGGCTGGGGCTGTCAGGAGTTGTTACCGCTGGCGCGGCTCCGCGCGGCTCCAGTCCCGCGTTGCCTCGGGAAGGGAAAGGCAAAAAGGAAGAGCCGCGGCGGCGCTTTGAAATGGCAGCAGCGGCTCCTGGTTTTGCCTTTCCCTTCCCGAGGCAACGCGGGACTGGAGCCGCGCGGAGCCGCGCCAGCGGTAACAACTCCTGACAGCCCCAGCCGGATACCTCAGCAGAGCTCGGGCGGTGCGAGCCTCGTTTCCTTGGGAGCTGGGAGAAGGCTGGCTGCTCCTTTCGGCTTCACGGGATTCGTTTCCACGGTGCGCAAAAGTGCCTCAGCCGCGGGCAGCCGCAGTGCTTCCCAATTACTATTTGCCGGCGTATAAGACGACCTGGCATATAAGACGACCCCCCCAATTGGAGGCATCTTTTTCAGGGCAAAAAAGTCGTCTTATATGCCGGCAAATACGGTACCTACTATGTTACTACTGGGGAGTGACATAGCCGAGGAGCGGCAATCTGCTCTGCTGCGTGAATCAGTTGAGAGGATATAGGTAAGTACAGCGCAGGGGCGGGGGGGGGGGGGCACATGATCATTGGAGCGAACCACTTTGCTGCCAGCTGATCGTCGGAGCTAGAGGTTCGCCCTAAACCAGTCTGAACCAGTCCAATCCCACCCCTGCTCTCAAGACCTGGTGCACAAGACTCAGAGCCCCTCTTGTGGAACCAGCTTCCCCCACATATAAGGCCATAGTCTTCCTTCTTCCTCTGCTTCCATGGAACAGGTTTTGTTTTTTTTAACCCATCTATTGGAGATTGGCCCAAAGGATGATTTTGCCCCAAGATCTCCAGGCACCATGAACCAATGAATGAATGAATGAATGAATGAATGAATGAATCTTACTTACTGCAATAGGAATTGTAAGCCTGTCGGTGTCTTCAAACTCGAATGGCATAGAACTCTGAATAAATAAAGAAAATAAGTCAATGAATTCCAGAGGTACAATGTCCGAACATCTCAGGACGATTCCCCCCCACCCCCTGCCAACCTGCTTCTCTCTCATTTCCTCAGCTAGCCTGGCAGGTTTGGGAGAGGCTAATTGCCTGATAAGGACATTCTCTTAACAAACATCATTCTGCCTTCCACCCAGGGGTGGGATTCAGAATTTTTAACAACCAGTTCTGTGGGCGTGGCTTAGGTGGTGGGTGTGGCTTGGTGGTCATGTGACTGGGTGGACTTGGCTTGGTGGTCATGTTATTGGCTGGGTGTGGCCAACTCAACTCACTCACATGAAGGCACGCATCTCCTCGCCTGGTCTCTCATGACTGTGGGGATGCTGCAACAGTCGTAAGTGTGAAAAATGGTCATAAGTCACTTTTTTCAGTGCCATTGTAACTTTGAATGGTCACTCCACACAAGCAAAGTACCAGCAAAGGAGGGGGGGAAAACTCCAGAGAAGTTCCAGAGACAGGAAGTCTCGTCCTGCCAAGAATGTAATAAAGGTTAACGGAGAGGCAGTTTCTGTAAGCAACCCCAGAATGTTTCCTTCCTGCCTTCCTTACAGGATTAGGCCAGTAATTTCTTTTAACAACTGGTTCTCCGAACTGCTTAGAATGTTAACAACCGGTTCTAGCGAATAGGTACAAACTGGTAGAATCCCACCCCTGGCCTCCACTAAGGGAGAGCACGTTCCTAGAATCCCTTGGCCTTCGCTTTGCTACTTGGCTGCCCTTCCTCAAGTCACAAAACCTTGTTATTCTCATCCTATTCAGTATGATCTCCATGTCCCTTCACCTGCTTGGCTTCGGGGACTGTGGAATTGGGGATATCTTGGCAGGTTGCCTCTGGAACAGAGTTTTCCTTCCAGCAAAGTGAGACAGTGGGGTGAAAGATGCAGCGGCCACTCAGTAATATGGCCATTTCGGTTTTGTCACTGGAACTGAAGTCATGAAAGTGCGCCGAAGACCAGAGATCTGTAGCATCTAGCAAAATAAATAAGGAATATGAACGAATGAACAAAAAAGCGAATGAACGAACAAATGAACAAACCAATGAATGGATGGATGGGTGGATGGATGGAAGGATGGACCATTCTTTCTTATTTTTTCATGCTATTTGTATGCTGCCCAGAGTTGCTCCTTCAGGGGAATAGGTATTGCATTTCCTACCTACAGTACCCCAGCTGACTCTGTTATCTCGGGTAGAAATAAATATGGAAGAGAAAATGAGCCTTCCTTCCTTCCTTCCTTCCTTCCTTCCTTCCTTCCTTCCTTCCTTCCTTCCTTCCTTCCTTCCTTCCTTCCTTCCTTCCTTCCCCTTTTGACATGTTATACGTAAGGTATAAATAAGTAAAATACTGCATAGTTTCCCCGAAAAATTAAAATATTACAACATATTTGAAATAGTTCTAATGATTAACTATAAAACAACAGTGAGTTGACACAGAGAATGTAATTCCTCCAAGAAATGCAAACCGAAATCATGCAAAGTTACCCAGTTTTATCTTCATAAATATCCCATGAATTCTGTTAGGTTTAAAGAGAGCAGCTAAGCTCCCACATGTATAATAGCTACCATTTTGTTAAATATAAAGTGGCTGGGTTCACAAATCTCAGAAAGTCTAAAACAAATAAACTATGTTAAGGCTGATGTTTGAACCTAGCCAATGGCAACCAACTAATCATTGATTAACCAACTAATTCTGCAAACATTTGCTGAGCACGATTTGGAAATAATTGTTTTGAACACCACAACTCTCTGTCTTTTGATTAGTGAATCAATCAAGTACCTGCCCCTTTTAGCAGAACGAAAAGGGACATTTTCAGACCTTGACAAAGACCATTTCTAGTACAGCCAACATATGTATTCATTAAGCAAGCCAGAGATTCAATATGACTGTAACAGAAATGAAGAAGTATTGATTGATTCAGTTTGCCAATGATCAGGCAATGATTTGGCAGAGTTTAGTTTTATCTGTTACGTATAGTAAAAAATTTTTTATGTGTTTCTGGTTTGGGCTCGTGTATGTATGTGTGTGTGTGTGTGCTTCCTGGACAAATCTATTATGTTTTCTTGGCAATAATTTCAGAACTTCATTTTTTCTTCTTCTTAGGGTTGAGAGGCTGACTTCATTAAGACGTCTTTAGGCAAGAATAGAACTTACAGTTTCCTGGCTTTTGTGCCTAGTGTCTTAAACTATTATTCTAAACTATTTCTTTATGTAGAAATTAGCTAATGAATATTTTATGGCAACGAGATAAACAATGTCTGAGCAACAAGGTCCTGGTAAAAAGGTGAGGTTAATAAAAACACAACACAAAAACCTGTTCTCCATATTGATCATTACTATTATCTTCCTGGTTACATTACAAACTAATTTCCTGCTATTGCATCAGTCTGTTTCTTGCCTCCAAGTTAACTAACAGACTTCCTGAACAGAGAGGAAAAAACGGCAGGGCTCTAAGGACCCCTGAAGTATGGGCATGAACTATGAACACTGAGAGATAATCCACATATACCCACCATTGAAAAGAGACAGTAAAAAAGCTAAGAAGGAAACAAAAAATACTATCTTCAAGAGCCAACATGCAGATAAGCAGGGATTAACACCAGACAAAAATCAAGCAGACAAACAACCAAGCAGAAAATAAAATCCTGATCAAGGAACTATCAAGGACAAGATCACACCTCCATCAACAATGGCAGAGTAACCTATTGTATATAATCAAGGAGCAAATCCCACACTCCCTAGCACTGTTGATGTTATCTAGTTGGGTAATGAAATGCCTACAAGCAAACAACCAAGCTCAACCAAGCACCAAGAATTCTGTAGTATGGGCATCATCTAGTTGCCATTTGTGAGCCACTGACTTTCCCCATAACTTATGAAATCCCAATTCCCGATCAACCAATTAATAAACAAAACAACACTATCATCAATCTTGCCTAAAGCAGAACTCACAGGCTTTTGGCTGATCCTGGAAAGGACACACTTTCTTGCGGAAGCTGTCTTTGTGGTTATGTGATGCCTGCAGAAAAAGAAGCTAAGTCAGAAAGATACTAATTGATTGCATCTCATCCCAGTGGTTGATCTCAGGTGGGGCCAAGGATGGAAACTGGCAAGAGCCCCTCAAATAATATCTTGCCACCTTCTGTATAGATCAAGGGTCTGCAACCTTACAGTCAAAGAGCCGTTTGGACCCGTTTCCCACAGAAAAGAAAACCCTGGGAGCCAATAAATTAACAACCGGTGTGACTGGGTGGGCATGGCCAACTCAATGTCACTTACTCTCACCCAGTCACCTCCTGCTCTGGAACATGGAACAAGTTTCCATTCCCTGCCATCACCCTTACCTTCTCAGGCCAGGTGAGGAGTGATGTGGAGGGGAGTGAGGGCCCAGCCAGCGGTAGGATCAGCCGACAGAGAGCCACAGCAGAGGGCTGAAAGAGCCGCATGTGGCTCCAGAGCTGCAGGTTGCAGACCCCTGGTACAGGTCATCAGAGGCATTTATGTTTAGGCATTCTATATTTTAGTTGTACGGCACACAGAATCACTTTTTTGGTGAAACGAGCGGCCATATAAATTCCATGAATAAATCAATCAATTAAAATATACAAAGGAAATTTCTCCAAATTTTGCACTGTCCCACTTCAAAAATCCTCGCTCTCGAGATGTCACACACACCTCTATGCAGAGACAAGGAAGAAGGAACTCGTAGTGCAGCACTGCGGGGCGATGTTTGGAAACCAGTACCTGGGAGGTAAAGAGAAAACAAGCCATTAAAAAAAACCAAATAAGCAAAATTCAACTCTGCGTGTTACAAGAGCCACCAGTGACAGCCAAATAAGAGCCAAATAATTGAGCATTAAAAAAAATAATAAACGTGCCTCCAAACAAATCCAGAGTTCCAGAATTCATTTACACCACCACATCTGAACTATTACAGATGGTCCTTGACTTACAATCATAATTGAATGCAAAATTTCTGCTGCCAAATGACACAGTGGTTAAGTGAATTTTGCCTCATTTTACAACCTTACTTGCCAGTTATTAAGTGAATCACTGCAGTTGTTCAGTTAGTAGCACATTTTGTTAAGCGGATCTGGCTTTCCAATTTATTTTGCTTGTCAGAAAGCTGCAAAAGGTGATCCCATGACCCGAGAGAGTACAGCTGTTATAAATATGAATCAGTTGCCTATATATATATATACCATACATGTAAGTACCCGCGTACCTGAGAGACAGCAGCTCCGATCACACTGCTTGCACTGTCACGAAGCCGAAAGCACCAGCCTGAGGATGGCGAGTGGGACCTCGCCGAAACGTCGCCAAGATACTCTTAATCTTACACGGGAAAAGACCCGAACACACCTAGACCTACATACCTGTACCCATGAAAATTTACGAAAACAAATATATATATATATTTATAAATACCAACCAGCCAAACACCTCATGGAACTAACAGAACACTGCTTAACCAACACATATTTCATATACAAAGGACAAAGATACAAACAAATAGAAGGAGCTCCCATGGGATCACCACTGTCACCTGTCACTGCAAACCTGTTCATGGAAGAATTCGAATCCAGAGCCCTGGCCAATGCCATCCTCAAACCCAAACTATGGTTAAGATACATCGATGACACATTCGTGATTTGGCCCCATGGACAAGAAAACCTAAACAATTTCCTAACACACCTAAACAGCGCACACCCCAAAATCAAGTTCACCATGGAAACAGAAACAAACAAACAACTACCATTCCTAGATGTACTAATCTACAAAAAAACAGATGGCACACTAGGACACACCATATACCAGAAGAAAACACACACCAACCGCTACCTCAACGCCCAATCCCACCACCACCCAGCACAGATAAACTCCGTGGCTAAAACACTAATTACCAGAACCAAACGCCTGGCAGACAAGACACACATTAAGACTGAACTATGCACCCTGACTAAAATATTGACAGCCAACGGCTTCCACAAAAGCAAAATCACCAACTTGATCCACAAAAACACACTGAGACATAATAGAGACCCAGAAGATGAACAGACCCATGGAACAGCTGTCCTGCCCTACATAAGAGGCACTACAGACAAAATTAGTAAGATACTATACAGACACCACATCAAGACTGCCTTCAAAACAGACAGAAAAATAGCAGCCATCCTCAGAAACCCCAAAGATAAAATTGACCTGGAAAACCAAGGCATATACGAAGTCCCCTGTGCATCATGCCCGGCCACATACATTGGACAGACCAATAGAAGAATAAGTACCCGCCTGGATGAACACAAAAATGCAGTCAAAAAGCTGGAACACACTTCCTCACTAGTCCAACACATGGAAGCCACAGGTCATAGCATCAACTTCAATGGCACCAAAACCCTGGCCACTATAGAAAACCCTAATCACAGAATCATCAGAGAAGCCATAGAGATTGAAAAAAGACCAGAAAGCATGAATAGAAGAGATGATTCCACCAGGCTGTCAATCATTTGGAAGCCTGCACTCACAAACAAAAAAATCTCCACACCACAAGCCAGGCAAACACCTGGGCACAAACAGATCCCCCCTGATGCTTCCAGCTCAAACACATCCCAACCAGGCACCCAGATGAAACCCAGCTTCCTAACTAATGATAGCCGTCCATTTACCCGAAGCCAAGCTGCACTAAAGGCCTCCAATAAAGCAACACAATGCTGCCAGCCAATCAAGATACAAAAAGAGCCAAAAAACAGACAAAAGATATTAGAGACACCAATCAAGCAGAACACAGCAAACTCCAAGACCAATAAACACAGACCAAGACTCCCAACCAATCAGGATGAAGAAAAAACCATTCTGGCACAGCAGTAGGCTAGCCCCAAATTTAAATCTGAAACCACTGTAAAAGTCTGACTCACAGGCGGACACAATACAGAAGCCTGATGATATTCAGCTTTGTTCAGGTATTTTCCCACGTCATTATAGTTGTGCTTTTAAAGTTGTAGCAACGTTTCGGCAGAATC